AGTATCTGTGACAACCCTCAAAAAAGGGTTACAAATGGCGCCAACCTTTGCAGTGAGCGCTATAATGTAGGTAATCCTAATTTTGTAGCCATCGTTGTTGCAAATATGGTAGCTTAATGTAGTCGACTTTGAATTTCGTTCTATGTTCATATGGTTAATCGCATTTTTGCCTAGGTGGGGATTAGACGTACCTAATTTCGGTGCCTAATCTAGAAATATGATTGTTAAGTGACTAAATTCGGATCTTAGCTACCTTAATTAATGATCTTTTTACAAACCTGTGTGGAGTTCTCACCGAGGTTGTTGCCTAAATTTTGATGAATGAGTTGCAAGAAAACTGATTAGACTCCACCTTCCATGGAGAGTGGACAACCTGGAAGTGCGGATGACTAATGCGTTTCTAAACATTTTCCTCAAAGCAGAGCAATGTTCTCCAAGCTCTGTATTTAAAAAAGTAAGTGGATTAACACCATTTTGTCATAAAGTGCAATCAAGCGAGCTATCCACAACACCCAGACTATGGCTGGACGAGTCATAACGGCTGAATTTTAGCGGTGCAGAATGTTGGTTCTGTGTTGCGAATTGCAAAAAAATAACGAAAATGAGCCTCCTCCTTTCAAGGGTTTCTTTTTATGAAATTCTAATTTGGATCAGCATTTGTTTTGTCAAATTGTTGTTAGCACTTAGACCTGATTCAGGCGATAGTGCACTGGGTTACTTGACTTCATGACCACGGGTCTAGACATGTGGTAATTTTCACTATTTCAATAAAAACATAAAACTATCACTGGTGGAACCATTTGATAATCAGCAACGTGAACATTCAAAAAGGAGAAATCAACGTCAAATTTTGCTGACGCTGTTAAAGCTTTAAGGGATTGTCAGGAGCAAAAGGGACCAAAATATCCGTCTAACAAGTATAACGCCCAACTTAACTATAGCATCTCCCCCAACTCTCAGGTCCAAGCACTTCTGCCTTCATAAATGCAGTTTTGCTTTAAAAAGCTTCATTTTGCATTTGCTACAGCATACAAAGGAAATGGAGGTATGACTAAGGCAAGTCGCCTACGTTAGATCGAGAAAGACTCCGCACGCCCTTGCAATACCGGATTGGTATTGAACGACCGCTTTTCCCTTCTGAGGACAGATTCATTCATGAATTATCCGATGTTAATATATACTTTAGAGGCTTCGACGTAAAGTAAAACATCCGTAAAATCAAATATGATCAACTTGAGTCATTATAATGAGGCAGATCATAGGTTGGCAGCAGTAAGTCTATGCGATCAAAAGGTGTTGACAATGCCTCATCACTTATTGCATGGAGTATAGAATTGAACGAGTACGTGCAATTTATCATGAATGAGGAGTGGCAAAATTTTAAAAAAGACCAGTGTAATACTTTGGTTATGTGACCACCTGATGTTTGGCCATCATTTTAGGATTTGTCTGGCCCTTATACTCGTGGGCTGGCCTTCGAGCCATGCTCAGGCCTATTTGATCCGTTCCCTTCGAAACAACATGCATCCAACCTCACTCACTGCCTTCTTCCACTCTATGGAAAGTCTCGAGGCGCTACAGTCAGAAGTCAGGTTTAAAAACAGGAAGACAATCTTAAAAATATTGTCTGATTTTATGATCACCTTCTGACATATGAGCACAAGGTATAGATGTCATGCAAAATGTATCCATAATAAAATAACCTGTTTTATTCATATGAGAAGCACATCAGCTTTAAGCGAGCTACATGGAAATTCGAACGAGACGAGTATAAGTTGAGTTTGATAAAATCGGATTACGTGAATCAAAGAGGACACCAGGGCTTAGCGCCCATTGCATATATTATGCACATTTTATTTGACTGCCTGCATAGCTGGCGGTTCTTTTGATATTTGAAATGATCAGATTTGCTTAGACTAGCCTTCGGATCAGGCTGATTTCCATTCTTTCATCTTCCCTCCTTGTGCGCACATAATCAGCCTCACTTTACGCCTTCTTCTAACTAGTGGGAAGCCTCGGGCGTTACAGCATACCAAAGCTAGGGGCATTTAACCATTAATTGTGTATTGGATTAGTGTGCCAGAGATGGAAAACATACGTTGCTGGTAGCATCATTAAAGGACCTGCGTATCCAGTCGAACGGGTCAGAACTATTGTCACAACTGTAGGTCCCAAGTCTCCCCACAAGGTATAAGTAGACGTAAAGTTGAGCTGAATGCATGTATTTTAGACGGAAGGCAGGGATAAGAAGGTCCAAAGGTTTACCCACACAAGCAGGAGCAAGCCGAATGCCAAAAACAAAACCCAGACATTGGGTGGTCCGATAAATATAGTGTTACAATCCCTATAGCATCCCAAGACTTCCCACCAGCTGGAACAAAACATTGAATGGAGCTAAATTCGTGCGTATCAAGGCGAACAATGGGAGTGAGCCTGAGATGTGTCCGAAGGCCGGCCCAAGAGCACAAGATTTTGACGAATCTTAGCGACTACCCGACATCAAGCGTCAACATCATCATAGCGTTGCGGTGTTATTTAAAGTCTTCTTAAGGATTACATCAGAACCGTGAAAAATGTTTAAAAGCCAACTTATGGAATAATCGCTTAATGTTTGTTAAGGTTCCTACTGATCAAATGAATTACTGACCAAAAATTGCAAATTTATATCTAATATCTGGCAAACACAATAAAACTGATTCTCAAAGTCCTGCTTTTCTTTAAAATCTTACGTTATTTTCGAACACCATCCATTTTATGGTGATTGGTGCAGTCTTACTGTTCGTCAGCCGTGGTAGCGGGTATTTCTGTTGTGGCGTTGAGTGCCTATTTAAACATTTCGTTGGTGGAATTTTAGCTGATCTTTTGTCTTTATTTTTATTTACATTTACGTTTTCGCGTTAAATTATTTGGGCTCTACATCCTATGCCTTTTGACAATGCGTGACTGTCAGTTTCGGTGGCAGCCCCTGTGCCTTTTCTACCTTTTTAAGTAAAAATACACTAGATATGAGCGCCGTCCCCAAGTTGTGCTCTGTGTGACGTTTCTACGCAGCAAAATAGTGCTTGTTGAATATCGCTCACGACGCCATACAGGAATAGTTTACAGAGGATAACGCAAACTAGTGCTTTGCATTCCATTAATCTGATGTTTAGTGTCTCCACATTTGCCTAATTTTAGGACAAATTTCTTGTCGGCAAAGATCTTATTGACGCCACCCGTTGCAGTGAGAATATTGTGTTTACTTCCGTCACATCAAACGGCAAGGCCACCTGCAATTCAACTGACCCACTAGTGGAACAACGTGTTTATTCAAGTTTTTTTCGACAATTACATCAGGAGCACGCCAGTCCCGAATGTCGAGTGGCAGAAGGACATCTGATAAACGGGGACGACCTCGGGAGGTGTGCCTATCTCGTGGAAATCACTACCCTTCGCGGAAAGTTCATGCGCAAATATGGCTTCTCTCGTCACAAAGCATATTACCTCTACCCTGAGGAGGCTGTCTACCTTTCCGAGTGTGGTCATCTGCAGGTGTACGACCGTGGCCTGCCTCTTAGCTTGCAACAACTTTGTAATACCATTTTTCGCAGTGACTTCGAATTCTCCTGTTACACTGCTTACGCATGGCTTGTTCGGCAAGGTTTCGTGCTTCGAAGGCATGAAACGACGGTCGCTGTAACTGCGGGTTCTTTTGCAAAGGATGTGAAGTTGAAGTCCAGCAGTGTGCAGGACAACCCATTTCCTACGATTGGCGTCCCAAAATCGGCAGAGAGACAGCACGATGACGACACCAACTCAGAATTCCTTACGGCATCACCCTCTGACCTCAATATAATTGGTGAGGAGGGGTTGAAGGGGATGGTATTGTCGGACCTCCCACTTCATTTCGAAGCTTACAATGCAAGCGCAAGTACAACGAGTGCTTCGTTTGCTGTGTTCAATGTTTTTGACGATCGAACTGGTGTTTTCGCGAAAAATGGGTCCATAGAACCGGATTTTGTGTTAGTTGTTATGGTACTAGGGGATGGTGTGGACTTCTTACCTAACAAACAATTTCGAAGACACTTTGGACTCCCATTGGAAGCTCAAATTGTGCTAGCAACAGTTGATAATGGTGATGTATATTTGCAGTGTGCAACTCCATTTTCCATCCCATGTATAAATCAAACTTGAGTCAAATGTTGTTTCCATTCCTACAGAAGTTCAACAGTCTCATAGTACTAGTTGTCTTCACAACGCTCGTAACGTTCGCACGCGCCAGCTTCAAAGTAGGACCGATAATTAAGCAAGTAGATGGATTTTCTTTCCCAAAGGGGCGTGAACAAGTTTGATAATGACAAATAATTCAATGGTCTATCGAAGAGACTTCTCGGGAGGTTCGGGGAAACACCATCGTCTCCAGGCCATCCTCACACGATCCCAAAGAGCAGAGAACGAATCTATCGCGGGTCGCACATCCAAGAGAGCGAATTTGAAGTCTGAGTCCACCTTCTCTGAGTCGTAGTAATCGATGATGTAGCGTACATCACGACCACAGCGGTCTACCACCCAGTCATGCCGATCGAAAGGCAATTCGTGACCCATCCAGTGCCTAATGCGCGCCCGGGGAGAGTAGTTTTTGGCATCACCGGCAAATCGTCGCAATCGAGGTGTCTGGCATTTGCGGTAGTGCAAGTTCTCCCACTTGAGCACTTCCATCCACGTGGCCTCGTTGTTGGCGTTGTGGATACGGACAATGTTGTCCATGTCTTCCGGACGGATGTCGCTATCGTGCCAGCGCCAGCCCTTTCGCAGCATTGCGTTCCAAAACATCTGGGTCGAGGGGTAGACCCAATTCGATTCCTCTCCTTCCTTCACCTCCGCTCTTGGGATACTGGAGGTCACTCGAGTTGTCGATAGCGGAAATGGCTGACCCGGGCTTGGATCCTGATTTTCCTTCGGCATCTGCATGGGATATCCTATTATAATTATTGAATATATAGTAACGAAACAGGTTAAAAACGCTGGGTATACCATATTAGGTAGGTTTACGATGTCATCTGTCTTTTTGCCTACCGAGCATGGAGGCGGAGGGGGAGCAACCTCAAATTGCCCTTTGTAAGGACATACGCCAGGATTAGCCATTTCCATAGGACTGAAATAGGGTCAGTCTGATTCATAATGAAGTGCAACTGGTAAAAGTGCGATAAACGATAAAAAGCGTAGAATAAAATCAGCACAAAATGACAGTGTATCGAAGATATACTCAGCCTAGGGAGCATTTAGGAGATCTGGAAAAAGTAACTGCTTGAATCGTGCACAAAACTGGAAGACGCCACCAACCGAACACG